CACCGGAAGGGGAACGGGAGGGCTGACAGGGGAACCTGGAGCAAGACCAAGGAGACGAAGGGCAGACTGCGGCGGCTCCTGCTGCGGCGGCTACACCTACTGCTGCTGCTGCCTGTCCGCTCCAGGACCTCCAGTGGCACCCCAGCTGCCACCCGCACGCCGCGAAACAGCACCCCCAAGACTAGCACCCTCGGTCTCACCACCTATAGAACCAGCACCCCTAGAGTCAGCACCCCCAGAACTCGCACCCCCAGAACCAGCACCCCCAGAGCCCACTGCTCCCTGCTGCTGCTGCTGCGGCCGTGGAGTCTGCTGCGGTGACGACTGCTGCTGCTGAGGCAAGGGAGCAGGCGGCTGAGGGGCCTGGGGGACCGAGGCTGGGGGAGGCACCACAGGGACAGCAGGCGCACCCCCAGCAGCTGGGCCCCCAGAGACAGCCGACTCCCCCACAAGGGGAACCGAGGGGAACTGAGTGGCGTGGGAGACACCAGACTGGGCCGGGAGGGGCGGGAGGGGTGTGGCAGGGGGGGCAGGGACAAGGAAGAGAGGAGGAGGAGGCTCAGCAGCGCTGCGGTGCGGGAAGCACCAGTAGTAGGGGAGCATCTTGTCAAAGGTGACCTCACGAGAGTGGTAAAAACGGTGGTGCGAGGGGTGGTAGAACAGCCGGTCAGAGGCGTCAAGCGGGAACCCCAAGAAGACACAAGGAAGAGTGCGGGCTGAGAGCTTGTCCACGACAGTATCGCTGACGTGAGCAAGGCTGCCCCAGACGTGGAACACAGACGCGTCACCAGGAGACCCGGTCCAGAGGAGGGCCGGTGAAACCTGTGGTCGCTGGGAGCGCGGCCACAGGTTAAGCTGGTGAGTAGCGTAGCGCACGGCGAACAGCCACAGAAAATGGGGTGCACCGGCGTGGACCATGGAGGTGCGAGCCACCTCCATGATCAGGCCGATGCGTCGCTCAGCGACCCCATTCTGCTGTGGGGAGCTCGGCAGTGTGTACGTCTGGTGGATGCCCTCCGCATGACAGAGCCGTCCTAGAGAGCCAGAGGCGAACTCGCCACCGCGGTCAGAGTGTAAGCGACCTACAGACAGTCGGTGGGCGGTGCGAACAGTGAGAAGCCACGGGAGGAGAACGGTCGGCAGGTCGGCCTTCCGCTCCAACGGGAAAACTGTGCTGAACCGTGAGAAGTCGTCAACGACGACTAGGAAGTAGCGCTCCCGACTGAGACCATGGATCGGGGCAGGGCCCCAGACGTCCATGTGCAGTGTCTATAGCGGTGCTGTGGTAGGAGGAAGCGAGGAGGAGTGAGGGGCGGCGCGCTGCTCGACCTCGATGCAGGAGGTGCACAGTGGCGCTACCGACGGAGGCAAGGCAGGGAGCGACACAGGGAGACCAGTGACTAGACTGTACTGGGACATGTGCCTAAGACGTGGGAGTGCAAGGTGACCTAAGCGGTGGTGCCACAGAAGGGTCGGATGGGCTAGTGAGCGACAGGAGCAGGATGCGGCGACCTCGGCAGATGCAGCAGTGAGCGAGGACTCAGTGTGCAGGGTAAAGAGACCTGATCCAGGGTCACGCTCAAAGGTAGCTAAGTGTCGACCGGTGACTGTGTCTGTGCAAGCAGCGTGTCTCTCGCGGCCAGGGAACGTAGCGGTGATGCCTCGGTCCTGGAGGTGACCGACACCCACTAAGTTCCTAGCAAACGAGGGGATGTGCAGACCTATGAGGGAGCCGAAAGGGACAGCCGGACAGGGGAGAGTGGTGGTGCTACGTGCAACAGCTGTGGCAGAGGAGTCTGCTAGTGCAATGCGAACATGCGTAGGAAGCGGGGTGAGAGCAGTACTATCTCAAAAGAAGCACCGAGACGCTCCAGAGTCTACGACAAAGGAGAGGGCCGACGAGGCGGGGCCCGGTGAAGAGTCTCTAACAGGTCCTACGCTTGACGCAACAGGGAATCCTAGACTAGACACAGCAGTAGCTCCAAGGCTACAAACAGCAGGATAATAAAAACTAGCAACACTAGAAACATCAGAATACCGAGAATATAAGGCATGGTCAATCTGAATCATATCCATATCAAATATAGGAACTCCACGACGAAGCAAGACCAGCCAGGGGGGAACCTGCACGTGCGGACCGAAGTGACGACGGTAGAGGTCGTCCAGGCGGCGGAAGCAGCGAGTGGCGGTGTGCCCCACACGCCCGCACACCTGGCCTGCCTGTGGGCCAGTCAGCAGCTGGTACGTGCAGGTTACCGCGCTACCAGAACCACCAGCACCCTGACTCATAGAAGAGCCACGCAACCCCCAGGGCACCGACAGCCCTGAGCCCCAACCCCCACGGCCTCCACCACGACTACCACCCCCAGGGCCCGCCGGCACCCGAGACTGCTGCTACTGCTGCGGCTGCTGCTGCTGCTGGTGCTGTGCAGTCCCCAACTCCGACTGACCACCCTCTCCGTCCGCACCCTCACCCGCTCCACCTGCTGCTGCCGACCCCCCATGACCCTTGCCCCCTTTGCCCTTGCCCTTGCCGCTAGATGAGCGGCCGGGGGCAGCGGTAGCCGCTGCTGTCTCAACTACAGAGGCGGGGTCAGGGAATGTTACTGGGGAGGGAGCGCGGCCCGGAAAAATAGGGACCGCCTGCGCGCCGGTGGAACCGGCGATAGCGGCGGAGGCGGTCCTCTATCTCAGTCACGGAGGTGGAGAAGAGGTCAATGGTGAGCTCAGAGGGGTGACGAGCAAGGAGCGCGTCACGGGCAGGGGCTAGGCGGTCTGGGAGGCGGGTGACAAGGAAGTAGACAGTGGCGAAGAGGGGGGGCGGGGAGAGTGCTAGCTGGGCCTCAGTACAGGCCGCACGCCAGCGAGCCTCGAGAGAACGTAGGTGCTCGACTAAGTCTGCTACAGTGGTGAACGACGTTAGGTCAGGGTGGAAGAAAGGATGGAGGAGGCGACCAAGAGTGGCAGACGACGGGGTGGAGTACCTTGCTAGGATAGCCAGCCAGAGGGTGCGGGCTGACGCAGCACCCACAAAGTGGGAGTGCTCGGCAACCGGCAGGCACCTGAGGATGGTGACTCGAGCAGTGGCGCCGCGAGACGCCCAGATAGAGTAGGCAGTACGAGCAGCAGCGTGCACAGCCTGCTGCTCAGACATCGCGTCATGAGCAGGAGCGCCCGGGCGATGGATAGTGGGGAGCTCACCAGAGACGTGGGCGTCCAAAGACTCGTCGTCGATGCGCTGATTTGTGAGCTGAAGGAGAACTGCCTCCTGCCAGGCGGCGAAACCGACTGCCCGCCCCTCCCCATCCAGGCGCAAAACGAAGACGATGGGCGACGCCATGCTGGCAGCTGCGACCGGAAAGACAGTGGCGGCAGAAGCTTGAACAGTTGGGGCGGCTAGCTAGCAGCGAGGTGAGGATAGCAGCAGGCCAGCAGTGAGCTGGCTAGCGGAGGCGGCTACGTGGGTACGGGCGAGCCGTGGCAGTGGTGGCAGCAGCGGCTGCAGTGGCAGTGTGGGCTGCAGCAGCAGGGGCAGCTGCAGGGGGCGGCGTGGTAGCTGCAAGGGCAGCAGCGGCAGTAGCAGCTGCAAGGGCAGCGGCTGCAAGGGAAGTGGCGGCAGCGGCAGTGGCGGCAGTGGAGTCAATCGCCGCTGCTGACTAGTGCGGGTAAGCGGCGGGCGGGCAATGGCGAGCTGGCGCTGGCGGCTGGCGGCTAGCAGCTGACGAGCTGGCGCTGGCGGCTAGCAGCTGGCGAGCTAGCGGCTAGCAGCTGGTAAGCTAGCGGCTAGCAGCTGGTAAGCTGGCGGCTAGCAGCTGGCGGCTAGCAGCTGGCGAGCTGGCGCTGGCGGCTAGCAGATGGCGAGCTGGCGGCTAGCAGCTGGCGGCTAGTAGCTGGCGAGCTGGCGGCTAGGAGCTGGCGAGCTGGCGCTGGCGGCTAGCAGCTGGCGAGCTGGCGCTGGTGGCTAGCAGCTGGCAAGCTGGCGCTGGCGGCTAACAGCTGGCGAGCTGATCGAGCGGGGGGGGGGGGATCGGCGACTAACGAAGGCGCCAATGTGGTGCGGGCTAGCGGCGGCTGGCGGTGGTCGGCACTAGCTGGTGGCGGCTGGCGCTAGCCGACGCGAGCTACGTGACGGGCAGAGGAGGGCGGGGAGGGGATGATCTACAAGGCGCGCAACCAGGAGCGAGGCGCGCTAGGCTAGGGTGTGCTAGGGCGGAAGCGTGAGTAGAGGGCGAGACCTAGCTCTAGATGCCATGTTAGAATGTCGAGAGAAAAGTGACGAAGGGAGGAAGGCTGAGGGCTACAAAGGTGGGAATGTACCCTCTAAGAACTGACCTAACTAAGGCTATAACAAATATACTGTACCTAGCATAGACAATTATATTTGTTGGCGGGCTAGCACGGGCGGGAGGGTGACGGGGCGGCTAGGACCAGGGCCTCAGATTCGTTTTGGGGCACGCTGATCGCTCAGGGTCCCCCTCCTTTAGCTCCCTGTTTTTTCAGGCCTCGCAAAAAATCTTACGCTGATCAATCAGCGTGTTGTAATTTTTTCGCGCTGAATCAACAGTCACCTACGGTATGTGCTGGAGACAGCAGTGGCTGGCTACTTTCGAACAGCCTATGAGAACATGCCAAGTACTGTGTGCTGGATGAAGAATGGCAGAATCCTCTCCAGGGGGGCAGGATTTTGGTCGGTCACAGTCAAGTCGGCGTGATTGACGGGGAGGGTGGGGGGAAATCACGAAAATCACGGGTGGAGGGGTTGGGGCTAGGAATACGCTATTACAAGAATCAGGATCGGGCCCCGAAAAACAGGCCTCACTACACTTGTCACGCTGATCGATCAGAGTTCACTCCTAAAAAACCCTGAAATTTCAGGCCACCCTGAATCAGGGTAAAAAGCCTGCAATCTGAGGCCCTGGCTAGGACCTATGGCGGAAGCGCCGGTGGGCGGGGTGGACCTAACCTACCACTCATGATACCATATCAAGGTAAACGAATGAACTGAACCATGGCATACAAGGGAATATAACCTAGTGGGTTGTACTCCCTAAGGCACAACCCTATATAGTCTATAAAACACACAAAGATATGTTTGACAGTAACTCCACTGGCTCAGAATACCAGGATCTAGAGTTGGTGGAACCATGAGCAAAAGTTAGCGCAAGTCTTTACGTCATGCTTCTGTGGTGGCCCTGGACCCCTGGTCCTTTGTTTTGTAAGCCATATCAATCACCCTGGTATCTTCACAAGTGTTCTGTGTCAGTACTTCATCATTAGTGCTCAGTACGGTTTGCCCTGTTTCTCTATCCTTGAAACCTTGTGCTCAAGCAGACCACTCCTACTGCAGATGGAGGATGGGAAATGAATGTAAACAATCATGACAGTACATGTTTGAATGGCGATCAGCCCAGAACACATCTCTTCACTCCCCCTCATACTCAACCAGTACGTAGAGTGGCTTTGATCCAAGCTTTTGCCGTCCCTGAATCACACAGGAAAGCAAGAAAACAAGGAGAACCTATCAATCTTCACCTCAGGTATGGAAATGGAAGGCATGGCTGGCTTGAGAAACTAAAGCAAAAAGCAGGCGAAAGTGAAGACCTGCTCCTGAACTCGTACTTTGAGATCCGGAAGCTCAATGACGCATGCACACTCCTCCACATGCGCGCCAGCTCGCTCTGCAGAGAAAATGCGCAAGTTGGTTGGTTTGTTTGATCAAGAGAGCAGAAGAGGGGGGAGGGACAAGGCAGAGGTGCATTTTGATCGGCTCTAAATTCTCCTCCACATGTGCGCCAGCCCGCTCTGCAGAGTAAATGAGCACGTTAGTTGGTTTGTTCAAGAGAGCAGAAGAGGGAGGGGGGATAAGGGAGAGATGAAGAAAGGGCGGGGAGGGTGGGGAGGGTGGTGAAGGTGGGAAGCAGGGAAGGACGAGGAAGGGGATTGGGAGGGGATGAGGGAGGGAGGGAAGGGGGAGAAGACAGGGGGATGGATCGGGGCAGAAATTAGTAGTGGCCGGGTCATGAAGCATGGTTCAACATGCACAACTGCAAGTCAGAGGAACGGGGAGAGTGGAAAAGACGTGCCTACCTAGCAGACGAACGCCACCAGCAGCCCCTTGCCTTGGGCCTAAAGGCTACCTAACTGTACCGGCACACACAGAGAAATGTAGCGCCTACCTTGCAGGCGAATGCCAGCGCCAAAGGTTCCTCCAGTGGCCACCAGATCGTCCACCAGCAGCACCATGCCTCCCTCCAAGGCTTTGTAACTGCCTCACTCAATCAAAACTACTAGGACAGCGCGTACCTAGAAGGCGGATGCCAGCGCCAAGGGTGCGACCAGTGGCTGCCACAAGATCGTCCACCAGTAGCACCTTGTCGTCCAGCCCCACGGCTGCCTAACTGAAGCAGCACACACCGATATAAGGGCAGCGCCTACCTAGTAAGTGAACGCCAGTATCAATAGCAATGCAGCACGTACCTAGCAGGCGGATGCCAGCACCGAGGGTGCCACCTGTCGCCACCAGATCGTCCACCAGCAGCACCTTGTCGTCCGGCCCCACGGCTCCCAGGTGCATCTCAATCTTATCAGTTCCATACTCCAACGCGTACTCCTCGCTGATGGTCTCGCCTGAGGGGGGGGGAACAGTGGAGCGTGGATACACTGTGAGGCACCTGGAAGCAGAGGAGCTTTCTATCTCATTCGTTCCATCCGTACTCCAGTGTGCACTCTTCACTGATCGTCTCGCCTGAGGGGAGGGAAACAGTGGAGCGTGGATTCCTTGTGAGGCCCCCGGAAACAGATGCATTTCAATCTTATCCAGTTCCAGAATCCACACGCCTTGCTGATGGTCTTTCATGAGAGGAGAGAAACGAGAGTGTGGCGAGTGGGTGAGTGTGAGTCCAAGACTTCACAGGGGTCACTCATTGAGTCAATGGGTGCGAGGGGATGATTGGAGAAACGGCAGAAATTAGCCCAGTCCAGCCCTGAAGCATAGTGTATCAGCCAAGCCCATGAGCGGATTGAAGTAGAGTGTGTAAGCACATGTTCTCTAACGAGTCACTGAGTGTTCATTGTCATAGATCAGTGACTGGTTTGAATAGGTTTTGTAAAGAATCCTGACCAGTGACTATCATATTAGCCTGTGCTGCTCACCTGGGAGCTTCCGTGGTTTCCGAAGGCAGACGAACTTGGCGCCAATGGCGAGAGCAATGGGCGGGCCGAAGATGAACCCCCTTGCCTCGATTCCTGGCGCACGGGTTGGCAGGATCAACGGGTTTAGAAGACACAAGGCTTAGGGACGAGCAAACACTTAGGCGCCGATGGTGGAGAGCAATGGGCGGGCCGAAGATGAACCCCGGTGCCTCGATTCCTGATGCATGGTTTAAGACTTCAGGGTTTAGGGAACACAAATAAGGAGCGGGTCTGTCGTGACCATGATGATTGAATGGCAAGGGAAAGGGAGGCAGAACAGCAGGACTACGGCACACTTATCAAATGCTTATGAAATGCTTGCCAGCCACAGCGGCGAATCCCTTGTCCTTCAAACAGTCTACGAAGATGTCAATTGAATCCTCGATGCGAATGGTTGCAGCAGGACAACAGGAGTAAGTAAGATTATCAAAATGCTTACCGGCCACGGCAGTGATTCCCTTGTCCTTGTAACGCTCGACGAACATGTCGATCGAGTCCTTGAAGGCCTTCGGCTCCAGCAGCAGTGTGGTGATGTCACGGAACATAATGCCTGAAAGTAAGACCAATGTCACGGAACATAATGCCTGAAAGTACAACAATCTCCACGGAACATAATGCGTGAAATTAAGACCAATGTCGGGAACCACAATTCCTAAAATCTAGGCTAATGTCACGTGATCCCTAGATTCAAGTAAAATGACACGGATCATTAATTCTGAATCCAAGCCAAGGGTTTTCACACACAGAAGCCTACATCGTGAAATCACTACAAGTACAACATCGTCGAAGAGCTAAGGACAACCCCCAGATCCTCACCCTTCTTAGGCCAATCAGGGATGGCTCGGATGGAGTTCTTTAACCCGGCCACCCGGCTATCTCCGTCCTTATCGGCCGACATTGTCGTTCGTGGCTGCGTAAAAGCCGCTCGGTGAGAGAAAGCCGCTAGCGTTGGCAGCAAGGGAGAGATCTGATGCACGCGTGGAACGGACGCCTTGGCAATCCTGAGCATGAAACGCTGAGCTCGAGCCGGAATAACTCGTGCGACCTAGACTAGGGCTTCAACGATTCCTGAACCCTGGCCACTATCGCTTGATCTCCAGCCTAACCCTCTGCACCTTGTATTACCAATCAATCAACCAAGGGATCAGAACTATCCCTGAATGGTGTCAGCCAACTGGCCTAGGTCTGATCGGACATTCGGATCCGACCTTGGTGCTAACCTGAATCTCCTTGGTTAGCCTGAGCTGGCGCGTCAGAGCAGCCAATTTCAAGGGATTGGCGAAAGGATTTCGAAGGAGAAACTCGATGATTGCCCGTGACGACGGGGAAGAGTTAGCGGTGCTACGTAGGCGAACAAACACTTACTTCGTCCAGCTGTGCAGCTCTCGATACAGGCCAATCGCGCATTCGTTTCCAAAAGTTCAAGATAAACAGTTAAGGAAATGTTATTTGCATAGCATAAGCCCACCAAGGACAGGTGGAGGAACAAACGCAAAACACAAGTATTAAATCAGCATACATACAAAAAACAACGTTTGTGTGATTATGGAAGTAATATAGCAATATGCCGTCCTTCAGCACCAATCGCTTATTTGGAAATAGATGACAGCCTTATAGCTGGAGGTTAAGGGTATGAATCAAGTACTGCCCAGTAACGCTTTGTAACGCGCGAAGTAGAAGAAATGTAAGGAATTTCCCATTCCTTACCGGGCGGTACTGCTATCGCTTACGCTCGAATATCAGAAAGAAAATGATTGAACTAGAATGTGTGTGTACAAGGATATATGGACTAGGGTGTTGTACCCTCTAAAACACAATCTAGTATAGTCTACAGTAACAACCTAAGTTACATTTGACACACCCCCTAGACTATATAGGGGCAGTGCCTAACAAGGGAAGAAGCAGCTCAGGGCGGCACTACTAGTCCAGCCTCTGAGACAAAGGTCTAAAGACCAGTCAAAAGGAGTACAGACAAGGCAAGAGCAAGCCCAGGGCGGCACTACTAGTCCAGCCACTGGGAGAGGCCACAAGGCCAGTCTGGGTAAAATATATATATAAAGGACAGTACCAAGTCAAGGCCCTAGCAAGTGAGAGGCTACAGGAACGAGACCCAGCTGTACACAGTGCCCCTGATGATCTTTAGGGGCAAGCGCCTTCGGAAAGATATCAGCTGTGTTGGCACCGGAGGCCAAGTGTACTACGCGCGCCTGGCGACGCTGCTGCAGCTCACGCAGGAGGAAGTACCGCAGCTGAATGTGCTTTGCTCTGCCCTCGAGTCGAGGCTCCTGACACAGGAGCATCATGGCCCTGTTGTCAGCGTACAGGGCCGGGCAGAGCTAGGCCGCTCACCTAAGTCAGTGAGCAAAAAGGTCAGCCAGCGGAGCTCCTGTGCCGCCATGGCACCGGCGTAGATCTCGGCCTCACAGCTGGACTGGGCAACAGACGAGGAGCGGGTAGCTCTCCACGAGACGGCACCTGAACCAAGGCTGAAGCAGTAGCCCTGCGAGGACCTGAGGGTCTCGGCGTCGTCTGCCCAAGAAGCGTCTGTGTGTCCAGTAAGGACCACTGGCCTAAGTCCTCCTAGCACAAACCCCATGCCCGATGTACTTGCAAGTTCACGCAAAACCCTCTTAGCGGCAGACCAGTGCAGAGGTCGGTGTGTGCCTGTAGCCACAAAGCGAGCCACGATGCTGAGAGGGTATGCAAGATCTGGGCGCGTGCAAGTCATCAGGTACATGAGGCAACCCACCAGCTCTGCGTAAGGACCACTGGGCTCTGCTGACTCCTCAGGAACAGGAGCGGAGAGCCTGTGGTCTAGAGGCAGAGGAGTAGGCTGTGCAGAGGAGAACTGAAGACCGAATCTCTGAAGGACCTGGCGCACCAAGTGTGACTGAGTCAAAGTGATGGTGCGGGCTGCTCTGTCCCTGGAGATCTGCAAGCCAAGGTAGTGGCACAGTTCTCCAAGGTCAGTGCAGGTGTGTCTCTTCAGCACCTCTGCCTTCACGGAGGCCAGTGCGTCCCTTTCTGCCGCGGCGAAGACCAGGTTGTCTACGCAAACAAGGATGTAGAACGGAGTCTGGCCATCACGAACGAAGAGCGAGGGGTCTGCAGAGGACGGAAAGAACTGCAGGTCAACAAGCGTAGCACGCAGCGTGTCGTGCCACTCACGGGGAGCCTGCCGCAGGTTGTAGACGGGACGCCGGAGGAGCCACTGGGTCCTAGGAGGGAAGGTACCAGTGAAGCCCTGTGGGCGACGCATGTAGACCTGCTCGTGTAGACTGCCCTGAAAAAACGCAGTGGAGAAGTCGAGGGAGTGAAGCTCGTAGTCACGCTGCGCTGCTACGTGTAGTAGCACCCGAAGAGTAGTCATCTTCGGGGTCGGAGCGAAGGTCTGGAAGAAGTCCACCCCCTCACGCTGACTGAAACCTCTATCCACGTACCGCGCCTTGAACAAAGACGGCTCTCTAGGAGGGCGCTTCACCTTGAAGAGCCAGCGGCCATCGACTACGTTCACCCAGGTGGGGGAACTGCGTCGACATAGGTGCCGGTGGATCTCCAAGATGGCATCTCCTGCTCCATGGCAGCTATCCACTGAGAGGCCCAGGGTCCCGAGATTGCCTCAGCGTAAGTGCGAGGGGTCGGGATGTCGAAAGCGTCGGGGTCACCCTCAGGGACTAGGAGCATGGAACAGAGATGGGGAGCAGCCTCGGACAGGAAAGCAAGCTCGTACTGGCGGTCCTCCAGGACGTCACTGCCAAGGGCAGAAGCACCCCCGACAGACGGAGGACAGGCAGGGTCAGAGACCAGAGCGGTGGCGTAGTCAAGGCGGCGGGTAGAGGCGAAGTCAGCGACCGCAGCGACAAGGGCGTCAAGGCTCGTAACCGGAACAGACGGGTCGGTAACGAGAGAGGCAAGGACCCGAGGAACAAGAGGACGAGCGGCACGCAGGTAGTCAGACAGAGGGGGGGGAGCAACGACAAGGGAGGACGGAGGGGGCGACGGGAGAAGGGGAGGACGAGACGCGTGGGAACGAAGCAACATAGGGTGAGAGCGCAAGACAGGGGAGACAGGTCGAGCACGGGAGGGACGGCGAGACCAGACATGAGACGGGGGAGTCGGGTCAGGAGATAGAGGAGGCGACACAGGAGGGGAATAAGGGGGGAAACGGGCCGGAGACGCGTCCGGAGGAGGGATCACAGGGCCGGAGAGAGGAGGAGGAGGAGGCACGGGCACGGGGTCAGGGGACGGAAGGCCGAGATGGCGAAGAGCGGACACCGGCGGGGACTGCTCTGACGGCGGTGTGACGCCGACACCGGGACCGCAAGCTGCCGGGCGGCTACCTCCAGAACACTCCACACCAGCACCCCCAGAAGAAACACCCCCAGAGCTCAGAACCCCTCGAGCACCGGTACCACCTCCAGGCCCGCCGGGACAAGCCACGACAGGAGTCCCGGGACGAGTACCCACCCCAACTCCAGCACCCCAAGAGGCAACCAACTGCTGCGGCGACGGCTGCGGCGGCGGCGGTCGCAACGACGGCTGCGGCGATGGCGGCGGCGGTGACGAAGGCTGCGACAGCGGTGGCGACTGCGGCTACGGAGGCGGCGGAGGAGGGGACACCTGAGAAGGGGCAGGCGGCGAGGACTGTGCCACAGGACTACCAGATTCAGCAGACTTCTCAACCGGTACAACCGACGTAAGTGGGGTGACGTGGGACACACCAGAGGGGGCAGGACGGGGAGGGGGAGGAGGAGGGGCAGCCATGACTAGGAAAGGAGTGACCAGGAAAAGGGGGGGGGTAACCGGGGGACCTCGATGGGGGAAGCGGCGAAAGAAGGAGACGGACTCGTCAAAGGTGACGTCACGGGAGTGAAAGAACCTGTGAGATGGCGGGTGGTAGAAGTGCCAGTCAGACGCGTCAAGGGGGAAGCCGAGGAAGACACAAGGAAGGGTGCGGGCAGTGAGCTTGTCCGTGCCAAAGGCACGAACGTGAGCAAGACAGCCCTAGACGTGGAACGCAGACGCGTCACTAGGTGACCCAGACCAAAGGAGGGTCGGCGAAACCTGAGGCTGCTGGGGGTGCGGCCACAGGTTAAGCTGGTGAGCGGCGTAGCGAACGGCGAACGTCCACAGAAAATGGGGTGCACCGGCATGGATCATGGAGGTGCGAGCCACCTCCATGACCAAACCGATGCGTCACTCAGCGACCCCATTTTGCTGCGGGGAGTCCGGCAAGGTGAACGTCTGGGTGATGCCCTCCGCACGACAGAAACGACCAAGGACACCAGAGGCAAACTCGCCACCACGGTCGGAGTGGAGGCGCAAGACAGGGAGACCGCGACGGACACGCGCAGTGACAAGCCATGGGATAAGAACTTCAGGCACGTCGGCCTTCCGCTCCAGGGGGAACACGGTGGTGTAGCGCGTGTAGTCGTCGACAAGCACTAGGAAGTAGCGCTCTCGACGCGGCCCATGGACGGGGGCGGGGCCCCAGACGTCCATGAGCAGAGTCTGTAGCGGTGCGGCGGTAGGGGGAAATGAGGAGGAGTGAGGAGCACGGCGAAGCCGGCCCTCGACACAAGGCGTGCAAGGTGGGGCAGGGGAGGAGGGAAACTCAGAGAACGACCCAGGGAGGCCTAGGACGAGACCGTGCTGTGACATGTGACGCAGACGCGGGAACGCAGGGTGACCTAGAGGGTGGTGCCACAGGAGAGTCGGGTGGGTGAGTGACCTACAGGAGGAGGCAGCAGCAACCTGGGTAGACGCAGCCACCTGAGGGGGGGTCCCAGTCCAATGTGAATAGTCCGGACACCAGGTCCCGAGGGAACGTGGTAAGGGGGGCACCAGTGGCGGCCTTGGTATAGACAGCGTACCGCTCGTGACCAGGGAACGTAGTGGTGACGCCAAGGTCCTGGAGGTAGCCGACACCAACTAGGTTCCTGGAGAACGAGGGGATGTGCAGGCCTGTGATAGAGCCCGAAGGAACCGCCGGGCAGGGGAGGGTGGTGGAACTGCGGGCGACTACAGGGTCAGAGGAGGGGTTAGCCAGGGAGACGGCGGCAGGGACAGGAAGCAGTGTCAACGTGGTGGAGTCGCGGAAGAAGCACCGGGAAGCGCCAGAGTCGAGTTTGAAGGAGAGCGCGGCAGTGGCGGCCGGAGGTGAAGTAGCGAGGAAAGCACCAAGGCTAAACAAAGCAGGGGATCCTATGCCTGACGCAGCAGGGGATCCTACGC